AAAAAAAATGTAATCACAAAAGGAAAATTTTAAAAACTAAGCCTTTTGCATATTTGTTTTTAAAAGATGTATCTTGCATATAAGAGATGGGGTGTAGGCCAGAGGTGGGAAGTTTGGGTGGGTAGATGAGAGGATTCACAGAGACCAGGGGGATTAACTGAAATATACTGCTGAGCAGAGCAGCCAGGAGAGGTTTACCAAGCCATGTGGGTCAGGCCCCAGACTGGGTATTGAACAGGCGCTGAGGTAGCTGCTAATAGCTTCATAGAGCTGAAACTTAAACCCTTGGCCCACCAGGTGGCCCAGAATTTTGTTTATTAATAGTAACATTAAGAGGGAGAAGTTCCCTGCTGAGATGTTTCAATATAAAAAAAAGACAAAAGACCCAGAATATAAAAGTAATTCCTACAAGTCAATTAAAAAAGAAGATAAACATCAATTAAAAGAAGGAAAAACTGGGCCCTCCCTGGTGGTGCAGCAGGTTAAAGCACATCACTAAGAAGCTAAAGCCACTTCAGCATGAGTTCAATCCCCGCCCCAAAGGTAATCCACATGGCGCGGCAGACCTCTCCTGACCAGCCCACTGCTCCCCTCAGCAGTGTACTTCATTAGTCAGCCTGTATTGCTCCCCACTTTCTCTGGTGAATCCTTTTACCAGCCCTGCACCTCTGGCCTGTACCCCAGCTCTGTATGCATAAATAAATAAATCTTAAAAAAAAATCTTTAAAAAAAACAAAAAACTTTTATAAGCATCTCATAAGAAATCAAATGGGCAATAAGCATAGGAAAAGATACATTTCCCTAATGGTAAACTAAACTCAAAATGAGATAAATGCACATAGCAAAAAGAAATGAGTCTACATTAAAAACACTGTGTTGGTAAAAGTAGCAATAAAGAACTGATCACAAAAATATACAGAGAACTGACGAAACTCAACAAAAATAAACAACCCCATCAAAAAATGGGCAGTAGAGCTAAAAAAACACTTCTCCAAAGAGGAACTGCAGATGGCCAACAGGCATATGAAAAAATGTTCAACATCACTCGTAATAAGGGAGATGCAAATTAAAACCACAATGAGATACCACCTCACCTCAGTGAGAATGGCACATCTTCAAACAACTAGCAACAACAAATGTTGGCGAGAATGTGGAGAAAAAGGAACTCTCCTGCACTGCTGGTGGGAATGCAAACTAGTACAACCACTATGGAAAACTGTTTGGAGGTTCCTCAAACTGCTAAACATGGAGCTTCCCTACGACCCAGCAATCCCACTCCTAGGTATCTACCCAAAAGACACAAAAACACTGATTGAAAAAGATACCTGTACCCCATCTTTATTGCTGCTTTATTTACAATTGGAAAAACATGGAAGCAGCCCAAATGCCCAAAAGTAGATGACTGGATTAGAAAGATGTGGTACATATATACAATGGAATATTACTCAGCAACCAAAAAAGAGAAACACATGTCTTTTGCAGCAACTTGGATGGAGCTGGAAAAGATCATGCTTAGTGAGATAAGCCAGAAAGAGAAAGAAAAATACCGGATGGTTTCACTCATAGCAGGAGTATAATGGAACAGGCAAGAAAATAACAAAAATAATGAACAACCATATACCATATACAGAGACATTTTGTAGGGGTGGAGTAGGGAATGGGATCAAAAATGGGGGGGGAGGAGGGAAATGCACGGGACTATGGTGGTGGCACACGGGTGATTTGGTGATGGGAAACCCGTGGGGATTACAATCGAGATGGAAAAAAAAAATGTGCAAAATGATGTAAAAATAAACTTTTGTAATAAAAAAAAAACAAAAAGCAAAAAACAAAAACCCACTGTGTTGGAGGGTAGTAAAGTGAAAGAATATTTTATGTGGCTGGTAGGGGTCAAGATTAGAAAGATATTAAAAAATTTGCCACTCTAGCAAAGGTAATCAAGAAAAAACAATATACACAAATAAAAAGAATGAAACAGGCTATCATAAATTTTGTCATATAAATTACAGGTAAGAGGGTATTTCAAGAAACTTTATATAGTTCATCTAAATTTTAAAAAATATCCTTGCAAATTTAAAGAAAACGGCAATTTGTCTAAAATAATTCAATTAGACTCTAGAATAAATAAAAAACAGAAGTTATAAAATCATTAAACAGAATCAATGTAAGTAGCACACCTATTTAAAAAGTTCGTGCCCAGAAGGCTTTCAGGCAGTTCGCTAAATACTCACAGAAGAAATAGTTCCAGTCTTAAACAAACTTTTCTAGAAACCTAATAGGAGGTCTAGAAACCTGTGACTTACTTTTTAAGTTCAGTAACCTTAGCCCAAAGGTGAAAAAGCCCAAAAGCCCAAAGGTGAAAGAGGAAAGTTGTTGAAAAATGCCTGAAATACATAAATATCCAAATATGTAACATGAATACATTTGCAGATAGGTAAATGAATATGTGTGTGTGTGTATGCAAACCAAATCCAGGATTTGTACAAGAATAATACATCATTACTCCAGAGAGCAAGGGCTCTTGGGAGAATCAATTAACTCAATGGATCAATTTAACACATTAAAGATGGGGAAACAATCATATGATTATTTCAACAGATATAGTAAGAGTACTTGATAAATACTCTCAAGCATGGCAAAAGCTTGCCAAGTATTGATAGAAGGGAGCTGTTAACGTGATAAAGAGCACTTAAAAACACCTCAGGCAAATATCATACTTACTCTTGAGACCAGAAACTTAAGCAGGAAGCCCCCATTATCACTTCCAAATAACACTGCATGAGAAATCCTAACAAGCACAGTAGAGCAATACAAGTAAATTCAGTTTATAAAAAATGAGAAAGTAAATTTCTTACTCAGTTGTATGATGGTATAAACAAAATGTACAAAAGAGAAAAGTGCATTAAGAGGTTTTGGCAAAGTTGTGGAACACAAAAATGAACACACAAGCATCATTTTATTTCTAAACAACAGCAACAGACAATAAAAATAAATAAAAGACAGTTACCATGGCATAAAAAATAAAGTGTCTTGGAAATATTTGAAAAATAATACATGTAAGTCCACTTTGTGAGAAAGAACTTAACTGAAAGGTACTATAGACATAAATAGCTATGCCATGTAATAAGATTGGAAGATTCCTTAGTAGAAAGGTGTAAATTTTGCCCAAAGTGATCTTATAGATTCACTGAAATTCCAATTAAATCCATAAACATTTTTGTGAAGTTTAAGCTTATTCTAAAATTTATAATGAAAACACAAAGGCTACAAACAGCTATGACAATCTTCAAGAACATGGTGAGTGAACTACAACTCAGAATTTAGATCATGATGTAACAGCATGGTGAGAGATTAAAAAGCCTACTCAAACTGAGGAGAGAACCTAGAATTGGACAGCTGATGGATGTAGAGTGCTTTTGTACATCAGTGGGTAAAATTTGGACTTTATAGTAAAGGTGATGCTGGAAAAAAGTGAAATGCAACCCTTATCTCATGTCAATCACAAAAATCTCTTTCACTTAGGTTAAAAATAAAGCTATCTATGATGTATCCAGAAAAAAACATGGAACAAGAGCTATAAGACATCTTGACCTATTTTGAGATAAGTCAATAAAAAGTAAAATACATAAAGAAAAATGATTACCTATATTAACTTTTATTCATCAAAATGTACCATCAAAAATGGTAAAAATACAAGCCACATCCTGGGAGAACTTATTTGCAAACATTTAACCAATAAGAATTGGCATCCCAAATATGTGAAATATCCCTATAAACTGATAAAAATGGACAAAAAAGACTGGAAATGTAAATATTATAACTGCAATTCATGGTTAAAGTCCATCAACTTAGCAAGAATCACCTGGTAAAAGCAGGCACTGCCACGGAAGCAGTGAACTCTCTCCAACTGTTAGAGGCAGTCCACAAACAATGCTTTAGCATTATTAATCTTAGAGAAATCCTGCAGATTTGTAAGACAGTAGAACAGTATTTATGACAACACTGCTTGTGAGAGCAAAAGTAACAAAAAAATTACAAACAACCCAAATATCTATGAACAGTAAATATTGTAGTATACAGATACAGAACACATATAAAAATGAATTTAACTGTAACATGGGTGAACCTCAAAAACATTACTGAATGAATGTTAGGGCTATATAATGAAATACTATTCATAAAATTCAAAACCAGGCAAAACCAAACAATCTATTGGATAGAGAAATATATACAGTTGGGAAAACTGAAGAAAAACAGTGAAAAAAACAGAAAATTTTCACAAAAATCAGAATAGTGACTATTCTAAAAAATGTAGGCATGATTTTTGCCAAATCAAGCAATTTCTGGATCTAGCCAAAGTCAGAGCAGGAGGGTATGTAGTAGAGAAGAGGTTTTTGACAGGTCATGTTCTACATGTTAATCTGGTAGCGAGTGCACTGGGTGTTTGCTTTATTACAAGAGACACAATTATAAGTTATATATCTTTCTTTTTTAGGATATTTTACAACAAAAAAATTTATCACATTTTTTAAACTTTGGGTAATAGAATACTTTATTGGTACCATTTAATGTCAAAAACAATATGTCCATTGCTTAGCTTCCATCTTTAAATGAAAAACTAGTTTAATATAGCAGATCACTTGATTCAACTATCAAGAAAATAAGATGCAGCTTACCTTTGCAAATAACTTAAGTACCATAATCCACTGTCCTTCATAATAAATAAGTGTATATAAAAGAAGACAATGGTCTGAGTAAGTTTGCAGAGACCATATTATACATCTTAAACTGACAAGCCTAAGTGCTACCTATCCCAACTTAAAAACAGTAAGAACAATTAGGAGTTATTGTCAAATTGAATTAATATAGCACCAAGAATTTGGGATTTGAAAGATTTTAGACAATGTGATTTACTGAGCAAAAAGGAAAATGATTTTTCTTTTGTGAATTGTCAGGGGCTTATATATGAGCAGAAAGTCTTCACTATAAGTCTTTTTTAAAAGACAAAGTTTCATAAAATTGTGCATGTCTTTCACCAAGTCTCTGATTTCTGTATTTAGCGATTAACCCTATGGTAAAAGTTCCATGTGTGATAAATAATAGAATTCTATCTGAATATAATTTCGTATTTATCTTGTCTCATTAGTTTACACCTCAATTAAAACATTATTCTATCTGCAAGTAATATACTTCTCTAAAATATTCTATAATCAGATTTCCATTCAGATCACAAGTGTGATCTTATGCTGTCTACATCTCATTAAATCACTTTCCTCCATTCAGGGAAACTCTCAACTCAAAGTATTACAGTAATGCAAATACAAATGTAGCATATATTAACATATTAGAAAACAGGATAATAAATATATGTGGATCCATGCTAAATGAAATAATACAAAGCAAAAACCCACACATCACCATGCTATGCTCGTCTAATCTAAACCCCCAAAAGAAAGGCCCTGATACAGCCCCGGTTCATGTAAACTGATGCTCCTCAGACACCCCCGTGTCCTGTATTCCAATATAATTAAATGTTCTTTTAAAGACATGCCATGCTTACTTGTTTGTTCAAAACAGTCCACAATAACTTTGACTACTACTCCTGAACAAGATGATAAATAGTAAACATTGTATTTGTAATCAAGTCACAGATTCTAACCTAAGTACTTCCTATATTTTACCCTTTTGCTTAAAAACACGTAGGGGGTTGAGCAACATTAAGTAAGGGGCTGGCTTTTATTTCTGCCTTCTCGTAATTGGTGGGATTTTAGACGTGTCAATTAATTATCCTCTACTTCAATATAAAAGGTTTGTTTAAGCAACTGACTGAAGATCAAGTATGTTGTCTCAGTGATCAGCAGGTGAAGAACCCTTGTGCAAACACTTCAACTGGTTTCATGAAAAAGATGCTCCTGACCTACCATTAGTACAACACATTCCACTCCTCAGCCCAGAGGCAACCAGGACACGGGCAGAATGTGGGTGCCAGGGAGAAACTCTCAAAACTGTTTTAGGGCAGATTTTGATTTCTCAGTTCTAATGCAGTGGTCTCAAAAACAGACTGCATTGAAACATTTACTCCTTCTCATCAAGTCAAACCCTTGAAGAGAAGTAATGTCAGAAAGAACACAAAAGGTAACATGTCTTCTCTGAAAGAGGCACTGCATCTGGGATTGGAATTAAGGCTAAATAAATAGTGCTGGTTTGTGGTTCAGACTAATGTGTAAAGGATGTTAACCAACAGTTTCACTATTTGTCCTATATGCCTGCTTGTGAAGATGCGTCTCTATCTCCTCCCTGAAAACCAGCATTCCCAGGTGCGAGTGAGAGGCCTCATTCATGGCTTTGGACTGGATGCACATGCGGTACTGCTCAGGGGTCAGCTCATCAGCACAGCGCTTCTCATGCCATAGGTGGAAGAGACCAGGAACTGGAGTCCGAATCACAATCAGATCACCGTGTAAGTATTTTCGATAAAGGTGAACATCTTCTCCACCCCAGCCTTTTACTTCCATGTCAAATCCACCTGTAGGATCAAAAGAGACACTGTACATAATTGCTGCCTGGCAGTCAAAGCACACTGAAAACATTCAAATACTAAGCTTCAAATGAGATTGCAAATACAGCCCAAAGACCTCTGATTTGCAGAATGAGGTACTGGTTGAAGACATTACCATTTAAGATCTCAACATCTGTTGAAAGAGTATCAAAATGAAATTATTTAAGAACACTTTGAAAACTCCAAATTTCTATAGAAAACTACAGAAATCAAATAAAGTAGAAGAAAAGACAAATCATTCATAATCTCATAACCATTAAAATCTTAGGTTTCTTCTCCTCTCCTTTGAAACGTTAAGCTTTCCTGGATTACAGAAAACTTCACTGAGGAGAAAGCAAAGGAAAAGGTCATGTTGTAGATACAAATTTAAGAATGGGCTCACAGATGATTTAAAACTAAAGAAATGGATGAAATTACTGAAGGCGTGTGGAAGGAAAAAAGGACCAGGGCTAAATGCTAAAAAAATGCCCCTATCTAGAGATTAAACAGAGCCAAAGAAAGAGAAGTCTTCTTATAAATAAGCAAAAGATAAGCACATGAAACAGAAAAGATCCCAGAGGAGGGAAAATGTCCAGAGAATGTACTATCACAGTACTCAAGTGAAGAAAGCATCTTGAGGTAGAACTGGTCAAGTGTGTGCTGCTCAACCAGGAGTTTAAAAAGAACTAAGAAGACCTGGCAACATAAAAGTCACTTTTAATCTCACCTAGAACAACTGTGGTGGAGCGATATGACAGAAGGCTAACTGGAATAAGTAGACACATGAAATGGGACATAAATATGAGACTATTTTAAAATTGGCTTAAGTTGAACAACCACCTATTTCAAGAATCACGGAGAACAAAAACATTTGGAGTTTTGAAGATCTAGAAACCATTTCTAAGAAGAATTAATTCTTTACTTAAGAGCTGGGTTTCCAAATTATGTCATCTGTCAAATTTTAATTCTATGCCACTTTATTTCATTCACAGGATGACAATAATTCTAAAATCACTGAAAAAGTATTACTTCAAACAGTTAGCTTTATTAAATACTATGTTGATACATTCTTCCTCATAGATATGAATTAGCCAAACATTAGAAGTGATATAGGTATTTAAAATAAACAGGGGACTTCTGGCTTATGTCCTAACAAGTAAAAAGCTGAACAAATTGAAAAATCAATATCGCTTCTCAGATCTCTCAGAGAAGTAAAGTCACTGAGAAAACTGCTATCCCTAAAGGTGGAGAGAGAAAGAAGCAGACAAGAGAGAAATACAACAAAAACTTGAGTAAAAAATTCTGGGATGAGAGGACCACTGTCAGAGTAGGAAAATCTGAGCTATAATTGATGAATTCCTTGCTAGAGGCTCAGGGAATAAGTTTGAGAGTGAAAATTTGATTGGGGGAGGGTCTACTTTTGTAATTTCATCTAGGAGTGATACCAGGTTTTAGAGTGAAGATCGAGTGAAGACTGGAGAAAAGAGTCCCCTAAAATTCCTATGGAGGGAGGGCTAAGTAACCATTTTGAAATACACTGGAGCATTCTGTTCCTAAGGAGGTGTGCCTCAAAAATAACTATTTACTACCGCCTAACCTATCCAGGGAAAGGGATATAATCAATTCCAGTCCATTCTAGTCACCCTGTCCCATCTGAGATGGGGGGCAGTATCAGAGAAATACTAGTGAAATTCATGGTCCAGATATACAGACTCATTAAAGAACTGAGAGGTAATCACAGGACCACAGGATATATTTATTTCCCTCCCCTTATACCTGATCACCCCATTACTATCTATGATAGTTTCCTTAAACCTAAGGCATCATATTTAGCCATTAAAAATGAAAAAAAAAAATGAAAAAAAAATAGTTTGAAGAAACAGAACAAGCTTTGAACCAAACTCAGACATGGCAGGGACAATGAAATGATCAGCATAGGAGTTCACAACGACTGTAAGCTAAGGGGTCTAAGTGAACAACACTGTAAGAACAGATGAGTAAGCAAAAGATCCTAAGAAAGACTAAAAAAGAAATGCTTTTGCATTTTACATTGATAGACCAATGTATTTTTGCACTGATAGACCAATGTAATAGAAATGAAGAATGCCTTCAAGAAGCTTACTTGTAGGCTGGTCTTGCTGGAGGAAAGAAACTCTGAGCTTGAGGACATGTCTATAGATATTTCCAAAACCATAAATGCAAGCAAAGAGAAAGAAAACTGGAAAAACAATAAACCAGGACAAACCATTTAAGAACTTCAGAACGAATATGCCAGAGAGAGAAGAAAGGAAGGAATGGAAGCTCCAAATAAGAGGCTAAATTCCAAATAAGTAGTGCAGAGAAGGCAAAGTCTCCTTTTCTCAGTCAGCTCACATTCACTGAGTACAGGCTTCACCCCAGATGCACTTGTCAAGAAGTGGGACCTAGTGCCTTTACCCAGGTGACTGGGTGTCATTCTGAGAGAAATGTACATACAGTTGATAACAGTAGAGAAATACAAATCACTTCCTGCACTGAAGAGACATTCTGTCCCTTCTATAAGCCTAATAAACCTTGATTTCTAACATCTTCATTTTCCTTGCATTCTGAGGACAAATGGTCTTGCTGCAAAGGAAAAAAAAAACCCTTGAGAACAAAGCCAAGGACAGAACTTTGCAAAGAAAACATCAGAACTGTAGAGCATCAAAAGGTAACAAAAATAAGCTGTTGTCAACCAAGTCACTGGACACTTATGTTACAGGCACGGGTACACTGACCTTAACTACCTACCTTCTTTCACATGCTTGTAACTCTAGTTAATACCACTACACTTTGCTGTAAGCAGGATGACACTCTTTCACACTCTAGTCTTCTACCCTTCTCATTTGTCAACAAATAAAGCTACTTTTCTTTGCCTCAAAGTACCAGCAATTTTCAGTATCACTATCTCTAACCCAAGCTCTCGAGTAGAGACTCAGAAATTTGATGAACACAACAAACAGCAACACAACAAAGTTCTTTCCAAAGGAACTGATTTAATTTTAATAAGGTATAGAGAAGTACAAACCAAAGGCGGCTCTTAAAAATAATGGACACTTGGGACCCTCCCTGGTGGCACAATGGGTTAAAGAGCAGCACTATGAGCTTGACGCAGCTGCTTCAGCACAAGTTCGATTCCCAGCCAGGAAAGTGACCCACATGGCCTGGCAGACCTTTCCTGTCTTGCCCGCTGCTTCCCTCAGCAGTATACTTCATAGGTCTGCCTGTTCTGCTCCCCACTTTGTCTCTGGTGGATCTTCTTACCGCCCCTGCACCTATGGCCTGTACCTCAGTTCTGTATGTATGCATAAATAAATGTTTTTTTTTTTTAAAAAAAGGACATTTGGTAAATAAGTAACAAGCTAGAACACAGACCAACTAGTTTACAGAGAAACAGGGAAGAGCACCTGGGGCCCAAAGGAACTTCAAAGACTTGCCTCAAAAACTACCCTGTCCTGTGAAAGGATCTAATTAATTTATGCCTTAGAGCATTATCAAAAACGAGAGTAAACAGCAAATGATGAATATACCCTAATAGATGGGAGTAATACCAACTGAGGCAAGCAAAGAGACAAAGAGAGACCTCCCAGGATGACTGTACGCAAGGCTTCAGGAGTGACATGAAAGGCTTCATGTTGCTGGCCGTGATATTATAATTCACTCAAATGTAAAACCAACAGATAACCAACATTAAAGCTAAACTAAAGCCCTTGAGGTGGGGGACATCAATAGCCAGAAATACCAAAATATGTTGCCTAAGCTGTCCAATATTTACAAAAAAGTATGACGAATGTAAATAAAAAAATGTGGTTAAAGCACAGCATTGAGAAGCTAAACCACTTCAGCATGAGTTTAATCCCTGCCCTGGAGGTGACCTACATGGCGCAGCAAATCTCTCCTGACCTGCCCACTGTTCCCCTTAGCAGTGTACTTTGTCAGTTGACCTGTTCTGCTCCCCACTCTGTCTCTGGTGAATCCTCTCACCAGCCCTGCACCTCTGGCCTGTACCCCAGTTCTGTATGCATAAACAAATAAATATTAAAAAAAAAAAAAAAGTGTGGCCCATGTACCAGGAAACAAGTGGAAAAAAGAAAATGCTTATGAGAAGATCTAGGATGTTGGTTTTAACAAAATTTATGAAGTAGTTATTGTAAATATTGTAAATTATTTTTTAAAAATTTTAAGAATAAAAAAATCATGCATAAAGATGTAAAACAAGGTAAGATAATGTTTCAAGTGGAACATATTAATAACGAGACAAATATTTTACATACATACATAAATATGTATGGTTTATACACACACACACACATATATAACGGGAGTCTGAAGTTAATATGTACAAGAATTCAAACTGAAAATTCATAGGAGCAGCTCAACAGATTTGAATTAACAAAAGAATCAGTAACTTGTAGATCAACTGTCTTCATGCAACTCATAGAACAGACAGAAAAGAATGAAAAAAAATGAATGTGGTCTCAGAGAAACGTGAGAGACCATTAACTTTATCAAAATATATTTAATGTAGTTATGAGGAGAAACAGAAAGGAACGTGAGAAACAAGAGACACCAGAAGGCAGTGATGTCATCACTTTATTGAGCAAGAAATTGGGAAATGGGCATTAGTTTCATTTAAGTCTTTTTTATTGTAACTGGCTTATTTTCAACTATTCAAGTGTTACAATTGTCTCATCAAATAGAAAATATCAATAATGAGAAAGAAATACTAAAATATTATGTTAAACAGAAAAGATGGCAGAATTTTAAAAATGGCTGACTTAAAAATGAATATAAATAAACCAAAATATACATTATATATTCTATTAACTATATCAATACACACATGTATGTATGTAAATGTGGAATATATTCTAATATGCTATGGAAAGGTAGCAACTTAATGAACCAGGAAACGTGGAATTAAGATTTCAGCCTGCATTCTTAAATTATGCTCAAAGCTTTACTTTTGTTGGGTAAGACGGAAATAGGGTAGGACAGGAAGTTTAGAGCCAACTCTTCATTGGCTTAGGGAAGTGTTAATGACTGTGTTAAGTGACTCTAAGTCTCTCACATGAACTTCAACCAAAGAGAAAAATAATTTTTTGTATGTTTGAAATACTAGGATTTTGTATAGCAGTTCAAAGGCAGTTTCATGCCTAAATTAAAAATATGAAAAACCCTTGGATTAGGTAATCCAAGATTACTTGTAATAATCTACGAGTACAACAAAGTTATGTAAGTACCTGACACAACTGCACATAAGTCAAGTATTTTTAAAAACTAGTGTTTTGATTGTGAAGAAACAAGAAAATATTATATAATACTTTTAACGTATTACATTGTTTTTGCTATTCAAAGACAGTTATTATAAACTCATTTACCTCTCTTATCTTCAGTTAATCTCTGACATTCACAATTTAATAGAGAAACACTCAAAACTGACACCTTTAGAAAAGTGCCTTATCACGGTGCTACAGTAGATACCCAAGCATCTATCCTTAGATGTAAGGTAAACTTACCAATAGTTAGGAAATCTGATCGATACTGACAAGTCATTCCAAAACCAAAATCTCTCCAAAAGCCAGAATCCTTTTTGTGAACCTTAAGTAAAAAAAAAAACAAACTCAATTTAATCCTTCAAAAACTGGAAGTTTTAATCAATGAGACAAATTTATTTTTGAAAAGAGCATTGCTCCTTCTAATCCTTGAGATAACTAAAGATGGATCACAATAATTTAATAATTAAGTCCTTATAGGAACAACAAAAATATAATTGCATGAACAAAGAATTGAATTGAATTCAGGCCCTACAGGGTATAAAACTATAAGGTATAAACTATGATTATTAATAATTACTAACTATGATTAGTAGTAATTAATAACTATAAGGTATAAACTATGATTATTAATATGATTATTAATAAAATATGATATTATTATTATTAATGAGTCTGACCTCAAGGGGATTACATTCTAGGAGGACAGCATTTGCACAAATACCTACTGACATATATTATACCCTACAAAGTGGCACTGCAGCATCCAATCCTTTCTGATTTTGTACAGTTTTGCTCTGGTACATAGCCCTACGTAGACCATTGCTTCCAAAACACTCCTTCCATATGTAGCTTCAGATTGGATGATATCTCATTCTATACCAGTAGGAAAGTTTCATTCCACATATTGTAGGAATTGACCAACTAATAGAACTTTGACAAATTTTAGGACAACAAGCTAAAAGGGGAGTTGCTGGGAACTCTGGAAAGTAAAAGTACTCATTTCTCTGAAAGAACTGCTAGATAAGATACTTGCTCTTTTTGGATGGCATAGGGTAGGAGTGAACAGACTACAACCTGTGTGTTAAATCTGGCTTGCCGCCTGTCTTTTTAAATAATTTTACTGGAATGCAGCAATGCTCATTTATTTACAGAGTGTTCATGGGTACCGGCATGGTGCAGTGGCAGAGTTAGTTGGTACAACAGGGACAGAAGGACTCACAAAGTTTAAAATGTTTTCTATGAGGTTCTTTACAGATTGTTTGCCAATCCCTTGTGGCAGGTCCAGACATGAAGCTTGAACTGCTGCAATCATTTCCACTAAGGGAAAACCAGCTTTAAAATGAAGCTGTCAGACCAGTGAAGTTCAATGGGATAAAGAAAAAAGTTCAAGATTCTGATGATACTGAGCAACCAGGATCAAGAAAAAGGTAAAATCTGATAAACCTTTATTTTATTCACATATTCAACAAGCAATATCTAGGACCCAGGGCACAACAGTAAATAGAAGTGACAAAGTCTCTGCTATCACAGAGCCTTTGTTTTGGTGGAAAAAAGGAAAATGAATATATTCAGATGGTGATACATGCTAGGAAAAGAAATGGATGAGGAGAAAAAGCATAGCAGAGAGAAAAACCTACTTTGAAAGTAATGGCAACAAAAGGACTCTTTCAGGAGGCTATGTTTGTACAGGGACCCTAATGGAATGAGGGCATGAGTCACACAAATATCTGGAGAACATTCCTGGCAAAGAGGGCAATTTGTATTATGGCTCTGAGGCTTAGAAGTGTGCTTGGAGTGTTCGACAAACAGCAAGGAAATGACTGTGGCAAGAGCATAGAAAGCAAGGGTAAGAGTAGAATGATGATCTGGGGTCAAAAAGAGGTTACAGGTATATTATTTTTGTACTCTCTTGGCAATTATTTAGAAGGGGCCTAATATTAGGATAAGTGAGGCTAGAGGGTCTCAAGATCAGATCAAAAGGAAGTGAACATCTCACCACTTCTCTTTTCTAAGTGAAATAAACAACATACATGGAATGAGGAGTGGTGAGGTTGCTGAGAGGGGTGAAGAGAGGGACATTACGGCTGGTTTGGAGGAGGAGAGTGGGTGGGTAGGGGTAAAGAACATACTTCAGGGCAGCCTGGGACACCTGAGGCCTATATTTTAAACAGTGACATCTGTGAGGCTGGTATTACCCACTCTCTGCTGCTCTGGAACCTGGCTGACAGAGGGAGCCTCAGCCAGGTTGGGGTATTAAGAGAAAACACTAGAAGGAGTGAGCTTATAAAAGGAGGGAAGTGAGAATATAGACATGAGGAGGGTGACAGAAAGGGAAAAGAGGCACCTTATCCAAACAGCAGCATTCTAAGACAGCTTCCTTGAAGAAATAGAGTTGGAGCTTGGATCTGAAAAATAGTAAGAGTTAGTCAAGTGAAAGATGTACTGAGAGGGAGTTCCAAGTAAAAGAATAATTTGTGCAAAGTCCTGGAGATGAGAGAAAGCACTGTGATAAGGATGGAGTCAAAAGTGGAGGTGCCTATACATGCAGACCAGCACTCAGTAAAATTCTGTTAAAATACTAGGTAGTGGGCCCTCCCTGGTGGTGCAAGAGGGTTGGAGCACAGCACTGTGAAGCTGGCCGAGGTAGCTTCAATGCCAGTTTGAACCCCGGCCCTCGAGGTGACTCACATGGCACAGCAGACCTCCTGACCTGTCCACTGCTCCCCTCAGCAGTGTACTTCATAGATCTGCTTGTTGCTCCCCACTCTGTTTCTGGTGAATTCTCTCATGGTTCTGCAGAGGTGAATTCTGCACCTCTGGCCTGTATCCCAGTTCAGTTATTTATGCATAAATAAATAAAATCATTAAGAACAAAAAAACCCTAGGTAGTAAATATTCTAGGTTCTGTGAAACATAGTCTCTGTTGTAACTATTCATCTCTGCCACTGTAGTGTGAATGCAGTCATTGATAATCAATTCAATATACTGCGTTCTGATAAACTTTATGGAGATCGAAATTTGAATATTATTTAATCTTCATGAGCTATGAAGTACAATTCTTTAAAAAATATTTTTGAAACATTCTTAACTCATGGGTCATACCAAACTAGGCCACAGGCTAGACATGGCTCACAGACTACAGACTACGGACCTCTGACCTAGAGGAATCCACAAGGCCACATTAGAGAGAATCACATGTGTCTGTCATGGGATTTGGGCTTTATCCTAATCACGATGGGAATTCTCTGATGAGTAGAATCATGTGATCAGATGATGTTTTGGGATATTAACTCTGGTTGGAGTATCAAGAAAAGAGGGAAGGAGTTTGGTTAAGAGGCAACATTTCGGGCCCTCCTTGGTGGCACAGCAGGTTAAAACATAGCACAATAAAACTAAAGCCACTTCAGCAAGAGTTTGATCCCCAACACCAGGGGTGACCCACATGACACAGCAGACCTCTCCTGTTTTGCCTGCTGCTCCCCTCAGCAGTGTACTTCATCAATCTGCTCCCCACTCTGTCTCTGGTGAATCCTCTGCCCATCCCCGCACCTCTGGCCTGTACCCCAGTTCTGTAGGCATAAATAAATCTTTTTTTTTTTTAAAAAAAAGGCCAGAGGCTCAGGGGTGGAGAGAGGCTTCACCAGATACAGAGTGGGGAGCAGAATAGGCAGATCTACTAAGTACACTGCTGAGGGGAGCAGCGGGCGGGTCAGGAGAGGTCTGCCACGCCATGTGGTCACCTCCGGGGCAGGTGGGAATAGAACTCATGTGGAAGTGGCTTTAGTTTCTCAGTGATGCTCTTTAACCTGCTGGGCCACCAGGGAGGGCCAAATAAATAAATCTTAAGAAAAAAAAAAGGCAACATTTAGTTACACTCTGGATGTGGGATGCTGGTGGTTCACTACTGTGCTAGTTGGATGGATATAAAAAAGATTAGAGCACAGACGCACTGAAGTCTGTAAGTGACTGAATGAAAGAAGGATGGTGGGGAGAGGGAAGGTTCAACTGAGATGAGAGCAGACTTGGTCCTGAACAACTGGCCTAATGCCAACCCCCAAGAATGGAAGAATGGAAGCACAGGGGAAAGGGCATCCTGGAGAGGAACAGTGTGGAGCTGAATACCATGTTGCTGAGTGATCCGTATGGCAGTCATGGGGACGTCCTGCAGAGAGCAGGGACAGAAGGAATACACAGGTGGACAGAAGGAAAATACAGGTCTGAAGAAGGAGCAGATTTGAGAAGACTGGGGACAATATAAAGAGTTGCTGTCTGGAATCTGAGAACCAACTGGAAAACACAAAAAGAAACGGGCAGCACCGAGCTCTTGGCTCAAGCTAGCGATGATAAATGAGGTATGCATTTCCCTTTTCCTTAGTTTTGGGAAAGGGGAGTGAGAGGTTCTTCCCTATTTGGAATATAAAGGGTGCTGAGGGCAGGACTTTTTGCTGCTTTTAATCTGTGCTATGTCTCTAGAACCTAGAATAATGCCAGGCTCTGCATAGTAAGCTTTCAATAAATATTTGTTGAGTGATATATTTATACAGGTATGTACAACTTTTGTGGCAAAACCAAGACTAGGCTCTAATAGTCTTGTTACCTTACTCAAAATATAATCCTAATGTAGAGTATTAAAACCCTTGACCCCATGCCATTTCTGATTTTACAAATATTAAAAAATTCTTTAAATATTATCACACTTAGGGAAAGGACACATTTTTTTTTTTTGGATTTTTAAAGTAACACATTGCTATTGAGGAAAAGTAGAAGGAAATGCAAATTGCCCATACTCCCAAGTAAATACTGTACTGCATTTTAGCTAGTCCTCCTAAGCATGTGTGTGGGGGTACAGGTATCATATATAACCTACAGCTCCAGCCCACGGTTTAGTCAGCTTTCTCTCCAAATCCAATCCCACTCTCCTGGGAGCTGCGGTTATTTCCTCAGGTATACTGCCCAAGCCTAACTGGCTACTAGAGTGGAGCCACACTCAGTCCTCTCCAAACAATCAAGACCTCCCAAGGCTTTCTATTACATGGGGCATAAAATTCCAACTCCGTGTAGGAGAGTAACAAGTTCTCTTACAGATCTGACCAGATTTGCACTCAGCTGCTTGCCTACTGTGCTCCGTCACCTTAAGGAAAGACCCCGCTGTTCCTTCTGCCTGGAAGCCCTTTTCCCCTCCTGAGTAGAAGATTCCTGATGTCATCTTGATGGGCCTCCAACAGCCCCATCTCTGACCAAACACCACAGAAACACCTAGTTATCTTCACAACTCAGTCTCTTTTTATGATCTGCATGTTATTAATAGATTTTATTTTTGGTCTCTTCCCACCATAATAGATTAATGTACATAGCATAATAGTAATAGCATAATAATAATAATGCCTGTGTGGTTTTAAGTGCTAGGGTATCTAACATAAAACCAATTCTCATTTGTTTAATTTACATAACGGAGATCGTATCTGCAGTGGGTAAGAGTGCAGACTGAAGTCACACTGCCCAGGATCTGGCCCCACTGTGACTAGCTATGCATTTTAGGCAGCCATTCAACATCTCATCTGCAATATACAGGTAGTAATAGCACCTACCTCAGAGACTGTTAGGATAATTAAATGAGTTACCATTTATGAAAAGCAGGACAGTATCTCAAACATAAAGTGCATAAAAATTAGTATTAACTTTAAAATATCTAAGTTACATATAAAAATAAATTTCTCATTCTAACTTTACATTTTTCTCCACATTTACCCAATGTATTCATTTATATTTCATGTATTTTTTCCTTTTGGTAAATAATAATCACAACAGTATTAACTATAATTCAATTCATCATTTTACTATGAGAGTTTTGCTTGCTTTTAATGTTGTCAGTAACATACTGCTTACTCTACAGCTTTGATTATTTCCTCAGCAGAGACTTCTCGGAAAGGAAATTATAGGACCAGAGAGATGAACCTATTTGCCAACTCCTGATTCAAAAAGCTCACTGGTATTCTTACACCACTGGCCATTTTTATTTACTTATCTCATTTTTAAAAAGGTTTATTATTTATACATATAAGAACTGGGGTACAGGCCAAAGGTGTGGGGGTGAGACAGAGTGGGGAACAGAACAGGCAGACTGACTGAAATACACTGCTGAGGGGAGCAGTGGGCGGGTCAGGAGAGGTCTGCCATGCCATGTGGGTCACTTCCCTGGCCCGGGAAGTGGCCTTGCTGCAGTGGCCTTGGATAACCTCATAGTGCGTTAACCCGTTGCACCACCAGGGAGGGCCCTAGAATGGCCATTTTTAAAAGCAGCAGTTTTACAGCATGAAAAAAACAAACAAACAAAAAAACATTGCACTGCTGTTTTATTCTTAATAAGGTTGATCATTTCAATATTTACTGTGATTTTTAACAACAGGCTTTTACCTGTTTTTGTTTTCTATTGGGTATATTATTTATTTTTAGTGTATTTTTAAAATATACATAGTATAAGTAAAGTAGTTTTATAGGCTTTGTACCTGCTGCTGGGGTGATAAGTTCAAACTGCAACAAATGGTATAGCGACTAAACTCAAATTCTCTACCTGCTATTAATGTTTAACCTGTAAGTCTGTGCAAACATATCCTCTTTATAAGCCAATGATGTGTTCTATATTTTTAGGAGATCCACTAAGAGAAGACAGGATCTCAAATTTCTAGAAAAGTAGGAAATGAGAACTTTTGAGGGTTTTAGTAAACATTATATTCCTAGTGCTAACACAATTCTTATACCTATTAGTCTTCAAAAAGTATTTGTGAATGAGTGAATAGGGCCCTCCTAAAGCAGCTGGCAGGCCCACACAGTAACCTTTTATAGTAAGGCAACTAAAGGGAACAAATATTCTTGAATGCCTATTGTGCTGGAACAAGCTTTTATCTTGTATTTTAAGTGAGGAGACTAAAACTTAGAAAGGTTAAGCAATCTGCAAAGGTTGCATAGTGAATTAGATAGAATGTGAAATGGAAATATTTAAACTCATTTTTCTATACAGTATCTAGGATGAATTCATAATCACTTTTCCCCACATCCTTCCAATATTCCAGACAATATTATTATCAGCAAACTTTTACTCCTCTTCACCCTCATGTTGACTCCATTTAGGATATGTTTCTCAAGTAACTTTTAAAAATAAGCCTTTTATTCTGGACTAACTTTAGGTTCACAAAATAGCTGTAAAATAGTGAAGAGAGTTACTATATACTTCTCATCTAGTTTTAGCTTCCCCTAAAGGCTATCATTTTATATTGTTGGGATATATTTGTCAAAACTAGTAAGTGAACAGTGGCATATTACTATTAACTGACTCAAACTTTATTTGGATCACACCAGTTTTTTCCTTTAATGTTTTCCCTATTTGTCCCAGGATCCAGGCTGGGGCACTACAATGCCCTCAAAGAATTCAAGCATAGTGTCCAGAATCAAATTTATTTTTTTCAAAATATGCAAAGTATTGCTGTATTTTTTTTTTCAAGTACCATAGTTATCAAAAAAGATGAATTTTTTTCTTATTCTAGTAGAAAAGCTAGATTTGATTTGGCTACTCTTCCCCGCCCTCAACCCCCAGAATCTATTAAAATTGTTCCTTAGTTTCTGTTTCCAAACATCACAAGAGTTGTCTTTATTTAGTTCATCAAAGTTTTCTTTCTTTATTTTTTTTCTCCTCTCTTGGACTCCCATTATGCAGTTTGGGGCTTATGGGTTGGTTCTTCATGCCTCAGTTTTTGAATAATATCTCAATTTTTTCTCAAGTTATCTCTTGATCTTTATATGATCAGTTGGTTTTTCTTGTTTAGTTTTTTTTTTTTTAACTGTGAACCACTGCTATTCAGCACATTTAATGAGTTTTATATTTTCACAATATCACAAGTTCTCTCTCTCTCTCTTTTTTAAGATTTATGCATACAGAACTGGGGTATAGGCCAGAGGTGCAGGGGTGGTGAGAGGATTCACCAGAAAAAGTGGGGAGCAGAACAGGTCAAATGTCAAAGTACACTGCTGAGGGGAGAAGCGGGTGGGTCAGCAGAGGTCTGCCGTGCCATGTGGGTCACCTCCTGGGCTGGGATCGAACTCATGCTGAACTTTAGCTTCTTAGTGCTATGCTTTAACCTGCTGCGCCACCAGGGAGGGCCAAGTTCTAACTCTTTTAAAGAACAAATCTGGTTTTACTAATTTAGTGTTTTCTCAAATCTCCCTAAAAATGTTTATTTTAAAGTTGCTTTTTTACCTATACTCATATTCTCAATGTTTATTTTTCTGTTTATTAAAATTTGATGGCTCTCTTTCATGGTATTAGTTTTTCTCATAGGTTTGGCTTGTCATGGTTAATTGGTATTCGTTTTGGCTTCAAAAATCATTATTCAAAAACCTAAAATGGTTAACTGTGACTATCAGGGCCTATTTCCAGTAGGCATGGAGGAAGGACTATCAGCAGCTTGTCTTTGGCTCTGAGGCTCCCCATCCACCCTACTGCTCAGTATGGCCAGAACCCTGCCTCTCTGGCTTCGAGGACCACACACTCTGCTGCAGCCTTCAGACCAAGCCCAGTGTTTCCTGCGGCTCAGTACACATTTTCATCTTCTATGAGCGCAGAGGACGCAAAGTAGCCCCATCGTTAGTGTTCTGAACACACTGAACACAATACAGACAGCTCTCTCCTCCATCAATCCTAAGTCACAGTTTGCTGTATTATAGAAATTTCTCAAAATTTAGTTCTAACTAGTGGTACTTCCTTCCTCATCAAATACAAATAGGCTTTTTTCTTTTTTAGTAATACAGTTTTTACATAGATTTGGGGTATCAGATAAAGAAAATATGGGTGCTGGTTTGCTATTTTGATCACATTTATGCCATATTCCTAAGTAACATTGGTCTACAGGTAAGACCGAGGTATGTGCTTTGCCAGGTGTCGGTATGAAGATAATGCTGGCTTCATAGAATATATTAGGTAGATCATAGGCATTAGTATTATAGGTTCTTTAAATATCTGGAATAATTCATCAATAAAACATTATACCTATGTACTTAAGACAGGTAGTTTTTTGATAACTGTTTTCATTCTTAAAATGGTTTTTAGTCTTTTTAGAGTTTTCACCTCTTTGTAATACACTAACTTGAGATTCTGTAAAATACTAACATGAACTTGATTTCCAAATTCTCAAAATTTGTCATTTATTTAGAACTTTTAAAAGTTACATAAAAAAATTGATTTCTCTTATTCTAATTTCTTATTCTAATTTCTAACACTGTTTTTGTTTGACCCAAACCTAACAACTTTATAATTAAAAATTTACTTTTTGGGTCTCCCTAATGGCATAAGGGGAGCACACCACTATGAAGATGCTCATAGCCACTGCAGCAGGAATCCAATCCCCAGCCAGAGAGCTGACCCATATGGCATAGCAGACCTCTCCTGTCTACCCCACTGCTCCCTGAAGCAGTGTATTTAAGTTAATCTTGCCTGTTAAAACTGCTCCCCTTTCTGCTTTGGTGAATCCTCTTAGCCTCCACACTGTCTGCACCCCAGTTCTTGTGTGCACAAGTAAATAAATCTTTCAAAAAATTTACTTTTCACATGAAGAATTAAATTCCTGTATCTGTCAAACTATTAATTTTGAATCATTAATTTCTGACCTTTCTTTCCTTGGAGTTATTTTATTAACATCTTTTTATTAACATTTCATTAACATCTTAAATTGACTTTTTAGTTCACTTGTTTCCATTTTTTCTTAATTTTAACAATAAAAGATTAGGCTGAATGAAATAGTGTCCAGGATTCAGTCTTAGAATGGAAAAAGGATACTGGTAGAAAAACTGGTGAAATCCTAATAAAATCTATAGTGTAGTTAACAGTAACTTACTAATGTTAATTTCTTAATTTTGACAAATATTTATATTACAGTATTTAACTAAGCCATATTAACAACCTCAGAGAAAAAATAATTTATATTCAGTAAATTTACAGCAATACTGTACAATTTTCACATTCTGGAACATGAGGTATTTTTATGTGGCCTAAACTTTTCTCCTCTTCATTGCTCCTACCACAGTGACATTTAATTTTGAAACAACAAATGCCAAAATATTGTATAAGGGGAGGAGAGAGTGAAGGAACAATGGAAATAGTACATAATAACTACAGTTTTTACTGAAATTTAGTTTTCTACATATAGAACAAACATCAAGAAACGTAGGATTAATCTTTGGAGCTTTCTTCATCACTGGCAGCTTTTCATTCAACAGTGTCTTACCAGCTGCTGTTCCACAGGCGGTGGTACATCCTGACTGGCATAAACGATGTTGGGGTTGTAAAGACTGAACACCACAGGGTAAAACACCTTCTTACCTATTAAATTAAAATATGTTTATATCACACCAAGAAGTCATATAATGAAGGACTGATCTTTACTACAAATCTATGAAGATCTTATTAAAGATATGATAATTTATCAATATTCAAGTTATTGAACATGCTATTGATTTGATAAACATGATCATTTTATGACATAATAATAAGGGATGTGAAACTATAACAGTGCAAAAGAACAGAGGCAAAAATAATTAACAGGGGCTTATACACACTTATTCCCTTTCACTTTGGGGCAGTACACAAGGATATTCTCTTAGCTATTCACTAGGCAAGCACTTTATTACTCATTATCTTAGTAATTGGTATGTTAACCTCTGATCATCACCAAGAAACTCTGAAACTTCTATGATTCTTTGAATCATAAACAGTAAATTCAAATACTGTAAAATGAATTGATATAGAGGATATATCCAGAACAAGATCCAAAAAAGTAGGTAGAGTTAAAAATACCTGCTGTGTGGTGAAAAAGGAACTCTCCTGCACTGCTGGTGGGAATGCAAACTAGTACAACCACTATGGAAAACTGTTTGGAGGTTCCTCAAACTGCTAAACATGGAGCTTCCCTACGACCCAGCAATCCCACTCCTAGGTTATCTACCCAAAAGACACAAAAATACTGATTGAAAAAGATACTTGTACCCCCATGTTTATTGCTGCTTTATTTACAATTGGAAAAACATGGAAGCAGCCCAAATGCCCAAAAGTAGATGACTGGATAAAAAATATATGGTACATATATACAATGGAATATTACTCAGCAACCAAAAAAGAGAAACACATGTCTTCTGCAGCAACTTGGATGGAGCTGGAAAAGATCATGCTTAGGAGATAAGCCAGAAAGAGAAAGAAAAATACTGGATGGTTTCACTCATAGCAGGAGTATAATGGACCAGGTGGAAAATAACGAAAATAATGAACAACCATATACCAGAGACATTTTGTGGGGGTGGAGTGGGGAATGGGATCAAAAACGGGGTGGGGGGAGGGAAATGCACGGGATTATGGTGATGGCACATGGGTGACTTGGTGATGGGAAACCCGCGGGGATTACAATTGAGATGGAAAAAAAATGTACAAAATGATGTAAAAATAAACTTCTGTAATAATAAAAAAAATACAGATTTTGATAGCAAACCAAAAAAAAAAAAAATACCTGCTGTAATAGCTGTGCAGAGGCTTTTTATCAGATTAGTATTCCAAGTGGTAGCACTGCAGGGACAACTAGGTTAACTAACTAACTAGCCCGCACCCCTCACCAGAGAATCAACCCATTGCTACTGACTGGCCTCAATCAGAGGTGATGAAAGGTGATAATCATGGGCTCAGGAATATCTAGGGTCCTGCAGGCAACAGGCAGCCTTTTCATTACAAGATCCCACTTAGGCATAGGGAGCTCAATTTTCCAAAGGCAAATCTATTTCTGGTTATATGCATATTACCTTTATATAGAGCAGGTAAGTCTCCTTTAGCTTTCACATTTTGAACCTAAAGTTGCCTAGTATAACAAAAGTAAACCTAACTCCTATTTACTCACTAAGCTGCCAGAGTTCCTAGTAATTTTTCCAAAACAAACTGACTAAAAAGGTCGCAGCTCTAATTAAAAAAATGTTTTTTTAATAAAATTTTCTTTTCACATTAAAAAAAAGATTTGACATATAAAAATATTGTTTGTTCATAAAACACACAAAGTATAATAAATCATCCCAAAAATCACATTCTGGGGACCACACACTATTTGTATCTAGACCTCTGTGTGCTGGTGTGCACTGGTACATCTACTGAAGTAGAGTGCTTCTGACTCTCACATCTCTAAGTCTGCCTTGTGTTTTTGGACAGGTGCTGCTCCCCCTTAATTAATCCCAAGACATTTTATTTATCTGGATTAGTTTATTTGGATTCAAATGTAGACACTGGAATATGGCATAAGGGAACAGGGACATGAACTTCAGGGGGGGGATATTTTCATTTTCTACTTACTATTCCAGCTAACTTATGTCTAACAATACCTTTAAAAACATAATTAATTTGACTGAAAATATGTGATGTGCAGACACCTGTTTTAAATTCTACACTAAGCTTTTCACCAATATTTTACGCACCTGGCTCAGCATTTAACCGGCAGCTGTTAAGGAATTCGGCTGAGAAATATATATCAACATCACAGAAAAACATCAAGACCTCTCCCTTGTCCCAAGCTCGGGCACCCACATTTAGTCCTCGTCCACGATTAAATTCTTCATTCAATGAGACCAAGGTGTAATTGTGAAAATTAGACTCACTATGAGGAAAGCACATACAACAAATGATAAGTCCTACTTAAACAACTCTCTTCCTTCAACATGACTTACAAACTTTTTATATTTCACATACTTTTATGTTGATTCTACATTTACACAGGGAAAGGAAATCATGAACTTCATGTATATGTTCATCATCAGGGACAGTTACATACCCTAAATGTCCATATTTGAGGTAACATGTAGGTAGTATGAGGTTAAAGTGTTGAGGAGCTAATGCCCTTAAAGATCTTAAAAACCTATTGGGGAGCTAAGATGTACACACATAAAAAAAGCCATAATGTCTGGTAATAAATAATGCAAAGATACAAAGATGTTCTTTCCAGTTCTTAAGGTTTTTGCTCAGATGGCCCCTAATCAGAGGGCTCTCCCTTACTGCACATGTGAAACAGTTCCACGCCATCTCTTTAATCTCTATTACCTGTCTGTTTTCCTCAGCACTACCAGCAGGGATTTTGTTGAATACCATGTGCACAGTGACTCTCATAGAATAGGAAGTCAATAAATACTTGCTGAGTAAATGAACGAACAGTTCTGAAGGGGAAGAAACCACTTTACTGGAGTTGAGAAGATGTTAGAGCTGGAATTTAAGTTACACCTTGGTTAAAACCCTGAATTCAGTGGTCAGTCTAATTATTCTCAAAGGCAAAGACATAAGAAAGTAGAAAGCATTTTAAAGGTCAGGAATCTGAAAATCAGACTGAAACAGAGGGCTCTTAAAGTGGGAATAGTAAGAGAAGAGCAGAAAAATGTCAGACTAACAGGTACACCTTCCATGAGAAGCTGAAGAGCTTGATGAGTGTCAAGGAGGAGTTGGGGTTTTCTCACCAGGCATTGATTCTCAAAGGGAAGTCACTAGCACAGGCACATGGCAGAAATAAAAATCCTCAGACCTCATCCCTAACTCCTGAATAAAATGCTGTATGGAGTTAAACACATGTCTTAATAAGGCATGCTGAATAGTAAAGCTGGACTAGGCTATAGCTATAACAGGACAGTTTTGGATTAAAAGAGGAACATTTTAGGGAGATTAATTTTAGAAATTTTAAAATGTTATTTGCACATTTAGTATACCTGTACATTCAGGTATAGGTATACTTACTATAGTATAGAACTGGAATATGGAAATGGAAGCTAAAGCACTGCACATAGTCCATGTTTCTGTGTACCATGCTCTCCTTATGAGATATAATCTCTGCCTTCCACTAGGGAAATTGCTGATAATAACTCATATTATCCCAGCACTGGGTAGAGGTACTAATCAAAGAATATCCCAACCATAACAATTCCTAGGGGTGGGGACCAGATTCAAGCTGGCCCAATCACAACTACCCCCCCACCACTGCCATCCCACCTGGGCATAGTGACTGGCTCAAGAGTGGACATCTGGGAGAAAGCTCTTTTCTTTCTGATGGCAAAGCTGAGTAGTGAGCTCAGAGTCGCCAAAAGCCATATACCTCGTCTGTGGAAGAAACCAATCTGCAATAGGAGAATGAAGTGAACATGCAAAGAAAAACAAGACTACAAGAGAATTTTGATGGAATTCAAGTTTCTGGTTACATAATATCCTGAGATAACAAAGCTGTTTCTGGCTATAGTAATCTTTAATTTGGGGAGTTATCCTTGATTAAGTCTTGATTAACACAAGGATAACTTTAATTTCAATGTCAGTGCAGGCACTAAGCAGATAACCTGAAAATTACAAGGTAAGAGAAGGAAAAGAAATGGAAGGAGTGGGGGAAATAGCTTGAGTGGTAGCAACACTAAAGAAAGGACAGAGAAGAGGTAAGTAAGAACTGATTAAGTGGTGGCAAAGAATGGGTGAAAGATGCTGCTCTCAGATATCAAACTTGGAGGATTATGACAATGATCCTAGTCTGAACCGAGAGAGTGTCATCACAAGGAGGGATTACCATAGGAAAATGTTTTTATGCACCACAGCTGAGGGAGTCCCTCTGGGATAGGAAATGAAACTCCCTCCTGTCTCTCTGCCCAGTCCTGTTCTAATCACCTAGTCAAGACTCCTGAGTAGTATACATGGATCATAATTGGTGGGACTCAATGCATGTTAAACACCTTGAAGGGAAGGTCAGCCAAACCCACTCTTAGGGAACAGCCACAACTGGTAGAAAGGAAAAGAAGCAAGGAATGGATACAGACTTGGTGTGTCAGAAAGACAACCAACTTGTTATCTTACACTATAACGTATTTCTATTCACAAAATGTTTACATTTTATAAACATAAGAGGAACATTTAATAAGGAAGTACAGGTTAGATAAAAGTGATCAAGGAGGATGACAGAAAAAGGTAAATTTGGCAGTTCAGATCATAACTTTGGGCCCCTAAGTTAGAGATGAAAAGGCTGAGAAGCTACATCATTAGTAATAAGAGTATTAAGGAATTATTAAATCATGCATTCAACCCCCTGAGCACCTATTGTATGCCAGGTGCTAGAGGAGTTGCTTGGTTAGAGAACCACTGTTCTGTGAGGTTTAGCTGTGACAGGGAAGAAACCTAACAGCTGCTATCAGTACTGTAGTTAGGTGGGAGTTTCTTATGGATGGGGGGGGGGGAGACATAACCATCATTTGCAGGGCAAAAAGAAAGAACTTGAGAAATATGGGAAAAGAATGGTGACAAGTCAAAGACAAGCTCAGGAGATGTTATCAAAGTGAAGAGATTAGATTTAATACAAGGGAAAGAATTAACAGAAGGAAATACATGAAAGCAAATATTTAGAAGATGAGTCGGCCACAGAATGAGAGAGCTCTTACATGTCGTGTTATCTGCTAAAAGATTACAGGGAGACAAGTAACTGAGGATTACATGAGTGACCACAGGGATGAAATGAGGAACTTACTATGATCACCTCACATGATGAGTGAGCTCTTAAATAGCAGCTATTTCATTTATATGTGGCATACAAAGAAAACAAAGGGAGAAACAAAATCAGCCAAAACAAACCCTAGAAATCTGACTGTAGAACTGACATTACCAGAAGGGGAGGGGTCCAATGGACAGTAGTGGAGGATTATGGGTGCCTTGGGGTGGGTGTGGTGTACTGACATACATCTGACGATGTGTGAAGCTATACTTCTGAATCATATACAGTGTAATAAACCATTACTCTATAAAACACACCAAAAAAAAAAAAAACCCCAAAAATAAAATCATTAAATATCTGAAGTTCTCCTTCTTCCCATGCTATATATAAAGGAATTCAATGTGGACATGGCTCACCAACCTTGTGACAGATTCTAGGATAAACTTCACTTTAGATAAGCCTTCTTTACCAAAATATACCACAGTGAGATGAATTCTCTTATCCTGATGAATACATACATTCCTGAAAGAATTGAAAAATAAAGTTCATTCAATATTTAAAATATTAGGCATTGTTAATTCAGAAAGTAAGCACAGCAAAGTATTAACAAGAAAATAAATAAGACATTACTCATTTAGAACAAAATTGCATGAAGTTTTGCATACATGTAAAAGTAGAAAATACTGGCACATTATAAAGTAACACAGCAATCCTGTAACAACTAACAACCCTCATGTCCAAATGAGTGCAACCCTCAAAGGACCATGAAAACAGCTGCCATATTCTAAAACATTTTTTGAGTACTGCTTTCAGAAGCAAGTAACAAGCTATTCAAGGAATTAAGTCCAGTCAGTAAACAAATATTACAGTTTAGGATAAAGAGATGTCTTCAGACTGGGTACTTCCAAAAACTATACCTATAATTAAGGAATAAATATAAATATTTGCCAAGACTGAGATTACCTGTTGTAAAGAATAATGTATCACTGAAAGTAACCCATGTCAAAAGTCATAAAACCTCTATCTTAAGATATGTGGATTTTATTGTACAAAAATTATGTCTCAATAAAGTTGTTTTTTTTTTTTATCTAGAAACATTTATTTTGTAGAAGAACTGGGGTATAGGCCAGAGGTGCAGGGGGTGAGAGGATTCACCAGAGACAGAGTGGAGTACAGCACAGGTGGATTTACTAAAATACACTGCTAAGGGGAACAACAGGTAAGACAGGAGAGGTCTGCTGTACCATATGTGGATTAGCTCCCTGGCTGGGGACTGAACTCAGGCTTGGAGTGACAGTGCTGAGACTTAACCCTTAGGCCACTAGGAAGGACCCTCAACAAAGCTTTTTTTTCCCCTAAGGAGCACTTGGCCAAATTATTAAAGTAATGAAAGTTACCTGAAGTTCTGCATGAACTGTGCAAATGTTTCAGTTCTTCCAGCAAGTGGCACAATGATATTAATAATTGATCTAGTTATGTCAATCATCTCACTCTTCACTTTCATAAGGGGTCCAAAAGGGCGGAAGAGAGTCACATGTCTATATTCCATAAGGTCTGCTTTCTTGAAAAAGAGTTCATACTGTGTGCCCTTATCTCTCTCGGTACGATAATAACCTAAAAAGAAGAGTTAAGGACAAAGATGTCTCTAGGACAAGTTTATAAATTCAATGTGAATACACATTTTACTCAAAGATCAAAATATAAAATCAGGCTCACAAGGCTAAAAAAATGTGAAACTATTTATTCCTGCTACAGAGTCAGTAACAATTATTCCTTTAAAAACAGGAATTTTTTAATAAAAATTCATTGCTCTTATATTATTATTCAATCCATAAAATATGCTTTAAATAACAATGATTCTCTTTTTACATGACTCTTTAGCTAGTAGCCAATCAACAGTGACTATTTGATAAAAATAAATTACTTCTAGAAATATTAAATTCTAGATCTAAGATTCAAAATTTCTAATGCTCAGCTCAGCTCAGCTCAACAAAAATGAATGCCTTTAGTCTTTTAGTATAAAGAGGGCTATGTGGTCCCAGTTTTGAGGAACGGTCATTTTACTAAGGGAAATAGAAAAATAGACACATAAATAATGGTAAACAGTGACTGATACAGACAGACAGGTACATATACATACATACCGGAGAGTGTAAATAGTGATATGAGATGCCTTTGTCAGAAAAGAAAGTCTACTGCGAATCTGATTTTGTTTTTTTTTTTTAATTTATTTATTTGTGCATACAGAACTGGGGTACAGGCCAGAGGCTCAGGGGCGGTGAGAGGCTTCACCAGAGACAGAGTGGGGAACAGAACAGGTAGATCAACGAAGTACACTGCTGAGGGGAGCAGCGGGTGGGCCAGGAGAGGTCTGCCACACCATGTGGTCACCTCCGGGGCAGGCGGGGATCGAACTCATGCGGAAGCGGCTTTAGATTCTCAGTGCTGTGCTTTAACCCGCTGCGCCACCAGGGAGGGCCACGAATCTGATTTTTAAGTGTGACACTCAGCAGACAGGTTAGGTATATCAATATCTAGGTATAAACAGTGAACAAAATAGACCTGCTCCTACTTCTTCCAAGGCTTAGAAACTAGCAGGAGCTACAATCAGGAAGATGGCAATGCCGCACACTAAGTGCTCTATAAGAGGGCACACAGGTATGTCACCAGCGTACACAGTGAGCACTGCTATCTCTATTTCTTAGAGATGCCTTTCTTGAAGAAGTGACATCTAAGCTGAAGTCTGCAAGAACAGGAATTACAAAGATGCTGTCAGTAATTATTTTTTTGTGAGGGGAGTGACACAGAAAATGAGGGACAAAGTATGCTTCATGCAGAGAAAAATCCTGTAAGTGACAGAATCCAAAAACAGTTTTAGGTTAAGTAAAAGCTGTAGAATATAAAATTGGCATAGATTCCTTTCTTTTGAGGTAGATGTGAAGACATGTTACACCTGCTACTTAGTTACCTTACTTCCTCTGCAGCTCTCTATTCTGCCATAAACTACAAACACAAAGTGAGAAGACAAAAGACTGAGCTTACAGCAAAACTAGCAGTTTCGAGAGAAACAACCCATCAAAACTGGAAGGAAGTGACAGCAGAAAAGAGGTGACTACAGGGAGAAGGCAGCTGAAATGCCACAGAAAAGCATGATTTCCCTGATAGGCTAGAAGGTAGAGCTTTAGAGAGAGCATATGATATCCATGATTTGTGGTAAAAACCTAAAATTACACATATTGTATTATTTGTGGAATCATGCAAAGAGAACTTTTAATAAAGATTTACATGCAAAATGGCTTTAAGTCTGCAATTAAATACCTAGTTGGGTATGAGGATGGAGATGGCTAAGGATCTGCAATTATTCCTATTTTTTATCAACCAATAAATACTTTAAATTTATAGCAGTGTTCCTCAGTTTTTTTTATTCATACCTCAACCTGATATATAAAAGTCCTATGCCCTTTCTTTACTTTTCCAACTCTCAATTAAGCTTTTCAAAAACTATCTATGCCTCCTTAATGTTCTGACAAGTGCATTTCTTCCCTCCAAAATACAGAATAAACACTGTTAGGTTTTTTAAATGGTTTAAAATATTGAGCCTTAGTAGGTACATTTAAAAAAATGTTAAACAGGTATATCAAGATCAGATAAGAGAGGAATGTAAACACATACACATGCAAATATACACACAACGTAAGACCCCTTCTACTTGTAAGTTCAGATATTTTTCTATTTCCCTGATCCTTATCTCTATTTTATTATAATCTCATTAAAACTTTCCCCCCAAAAAACAAACAAAAAAAACTTTTCCCCAAAAGCCATTTCAAATTCTTGGTGGAATGAAGTGGGCAAACATAAATGTTTTAATACTGCGAGTAACTGACTTACATTCCCAGCATACAATAGCATTTTGTCATACCAACAATTAACCAACACATCTTTCAAATTACCTTCTATGAAGTCATTTTCATTAAATATCAGTTTCTCTCCAAGGGGGCCATCCTCATCTTCCTGTTCATCATCTTCATCAGGATTATTAATGACCTCCAGGCCTGCTTCAATAACTTCTACCAATTCATCTCGTTTGTCTTTTCTAACTGGCTTTTCCTCAGGATGGCGAGTGAGACCCATTTCTAACTGGAATACTTTCATTAAAGTAAAACTTTCAAAGGGAATGACCCCATATTCACTAGGTAGTTTGGCCCCTATGCTAACTTCAGCTTTGTCAATTTGGGAATGAAGAAATTCTAAGAGATCACTAGGTGCTTGCTCTTTGTTGACTTGATGGTTGGCGACACTGGCTCCTATACTCTTCCTCTCTTGTAATGATCTCATCTTCTCACTCATCTCCTGTAATTCTTGCTTTAACTGGGCAATTTGGCGTTTTAGACTGGTTGCCCTGGTTTGATAATGCTCTTCTTGCTCTTGCAGGAGGGCTTGATAATACTCTTTACCATAATTTTCCCCAACGACACCGGGAAGAGATGCATTTCCATCAGTCTGGGGGGCACATTCCAGAAGGTACAAAAACAGTATCAGACTGCAGAGTAAAGCAAGACCCAACAGCAGCCAGTGTGTCCGGGTGTGAAGAATCAACCCTCTTCTAGGCATTCTTATTAATGTGGACTTGCCTAATGAGATATGTTCTTTGTTTGCTCATACCTTTAGCAAAAGATTATCCAAAATTAAAAACAAAATCAGACTTCCATAAAAGGTACCAAAATGATTTCTGCTGTAGCTTAAAAAATTTCTTCTTTCAGCAGTCAAAACTACTTGCAGAAATAAGAAGCTATGTGTACTTTCTGTTTTGTGATCATGATATCCAAAGTAAAGAAATCTGATCTATAGAATCAAATAAAATTCCATTATCAGTGGTGACTTTTCTGAAAGAAATAAAGCAGACTCAATCAGAATTTTGTTTCTTTAAGCATATAAAATTGTTGTCAGCTTCAGCAAACTTAGTTTTGTGGTTACCAAGTGGAAAGCACCATGAAAGTGCTAACACAACTTAGAATATTCAGTAAGTGCTGGGGAAAAAATATTAAGAAAAATATCTTAGAAAACACTAAAATACATGTAATACTTTTAGCCAGAATGGCTACATATCCATAACCTCGTCAGTGAATCTAAGAAACATGAAATTTATATTTAGCATAACTTATGTTGCATCCTACCATTCTCAAATTAATTGAAAATTGTTGCTTATGATTTTTAAAAATTTAAAGTATTTAAATTATTTATTTTCCCACTTACAGCTTATCATCATTTTGGAGGTGAGTTCCTAAAAACTGTTTTTGTTCTATTGAGAATAGCCTACTAAAGAAAGAGATTTTCTTCCAGTTTATTCAACAAGTATTCCACTTCATTAATTTCTATGGCTTAGCTCAGTCAATCCAAGAACCTTAAAGTTAAGTGGGGGGTAAAAATAATTTCAAAAGGTCACAGACATCTGGAAAACATATTAAGAAACATTTCTACATCCCAAGTTCTGCAGTAGATTATTTGGGCATTAGATCACATAATTCTTTCCACTGTATTACACAGCAACAGATTTCCTACAAGTCTGGAAAAGTCTGGAGTCTATACAAAGAAAAAACATGAATATTTTAATATTTATATGCAGGGAAAGTTTTAAAAAAATTTATAAATGTACAAAGTTACATGATACTATTAATAACAAAACCAATTATATGACTACTCTCATAATCTGTCTTTCTGAATCAAGATCCTTAACGCTACAAAAAGAGAAGGTTTAATGTAGGAGACAAGAAGCAGGGAGGCCTGCAGTATCGAGAGAAGACTGCCAGTCTAACCAAGTGTTTGTCAAGAAGGATTATGTGATACGAATGAAGGTTTTACCACATACATGGTTTCTGCAAGCACAGAAGAACCTGAGGAAGATCACTAATGAATATCAGACCTAGTCACATTCTCAAGTGATTAGAAAGTCTGTTATTTTCTGTGAAAAATGCTGCAATATGCAGCTTTTTTGGTGGCATTTATCTATATAACATGTAGGATACATTCAAACTTCTTAACACTATTTGTTGAATCACAAACCACTGAATTCACTATTCTTAGCCACTTATTACTTTAGTTAACCCAATGATAAACAAGAACCTTGAAAAATGTAATTCACTAAAAGGGAATTACTATGACAGTACCTATTTAACAGATCATAAATCTTGTATTAAGTAATGCAGAGACCAAAAATAGGAAAAAAATTTGGTTTTAAGAAATAACATCTAATTTAAAAAGAGATACAAAGCTAGTATTAGTTCTAGGATGCTACTGTGCGTCAAAATTATTAATGTTTAGCACTGAATTTTGTTTTGGGGAAGATAAAATCCAGAGATATCTCTTTTACTATTTATAAGTTACTCTAACCCCTTATTAGGGAAAAGGCTAAAAACTGAAAAGACACAACTTTGTATAAATTACTACTAAAGTTATACATAAATACTTTACACTCAAATTGTTTTTTTTTTTTTAAAGGTTTATTTATTTATGCATACAGAACTGGGGTACAGGCCAGAGGTGCAGGGGCGGCGAGAGGCTTCACCAGAGACAGAGTGGGGAGCAGAACAGGCAGATCAACGAAGTACACTGCTGAGGGGAGCAGCGGGCGGGTCAAGAGAGGTCTGCCACGCCACGTGGTCTCCTCCGAGGCAGGCGGGAATCGAACTCATGCGGAAGTGGCTTTAGCTTCTCAGTGCTGTGCTTTAACCCACTGCGCCACCAGGGAGGGCCCTCAAATTGTTTTGTTTTGAAATGAAAATATAACTAATAGCATACAATCTAAGCATCTCTTTTATTAATACGGTACTTCAATTTCTTCTTTATATGGACAATGCACTTTAAAAAATGAGATAACTGCCAAAGGTCTATGTTTCAGTGAAACAAAACAGGAAAAATCAGTGTATATCAGTAGTAAGTTTTGTGTTACAACTATATATGAGTATGTGTTCCATATAAAATGTATTTTAACAGTATATTAAATGTGGTCCCCAAATCCTGAAAATTGTTGGTTTATAAAATACCTTCATTCATTTCCCATTTTATCCTTTCAGAATTGTTCTTATCATCGTAATTGTGTATAGGAAAAATAGACTCAGAAATAAAAAAGATTTAAATAAGGTTATTTAACTGATAAGTAATAGATTAAGTCAAGTTCTACTTTTCTCCCTCCCTTAAGCAAAATATAAGTTTTGAGATATCTTATATACTTATCATATATAACCAAATATCTTACAATCAAGTATTATTCACTGAAGTAAAAGAAAAGATGCTATAACTACTTCAGAATATAAATGCTAGCTGCACACTATCTGTAGTTTCTAAAAATAAAAAAAAATCAAGTCTTACTTGCCTACTTCCTGAAGGAAACTCTTTAGCCACATCCTAAAGAGTAGTTTATAACATTTCTAAAGAGATTAGGAATACTAGAGAAAACATCCATTTTTTTTACTACTATATCTCAATTACCATCATTCTATGCATGTGTCCACACCGTAAATAATATATATAAAATATAATTACTAATATGTAATGTGTTAACACAGCTGGGAGTTAATCCCACACAACCTGTAGGTACAGACTGTGTTCTGAAAAGAGAATGGGATACTATGGAGATAGGAAGATGAACTGTTAAAGATATAGTAACAGGCCCTCCCTGGTGGCGCAGCGGGTTAAAGCACAGCACTAAGAATCTGAAGCCACTTCCGCATGAGTTCGATTCCCGCCTGCCGCCTGCCCCGGAGGAGACCACATGGCGAGCCAGACCTCTCCTGACCCGCCCGCTGCTTCCCTCAGCAGTGTACTTCATCGATCTGCCTGTTCTGCTCCCCACTCTGTATCTGGTGAAGCCTCTCACCGCCCCTGAGCCTCTGGCCTGTACCCCAGTTCTGTATGAATAAATAAATAAATCTTAAAAAAAAAAAAAAGATATAATAACAAAATCAAAGATCTCAGAATTGAAAGAAACCACAGAAGTCATTAATTCTTACTCCCTAAACAGATTAAAGAGACCACTTCTCCACTTCTTATAGTCAAGATAAAGTAAACAGGGATTAGATTTACCCTTGACCCTGAAACAACCAAACAAAATCTAAAAAATGAAACAGTGGTTTTTAAACTATAGAATATTAGATAATAAAGGATAGTGATCACCAGAGAAACAAAAACCAAACTCCAGCTTACTGCCTTAGTTTCCAGCCACAGCACAGGGAGAACACGAAGCAGAGCTAGCAGACTTCTCAGGTTGGTGATGTAGAGCTGAGAGTAGAGACCAACGAAGTTCCAAAGACACACAGAGAGAACTATGGAATTCTGAAGAACACAGCCTTGGATATTCAGCTGACCACTGATCAGTACAAGCATATGAAGATATTGATTGAGGACAAGTAAAGAGCAACACAAAAAATTAGAGGGCACAGAATTGGGCATTCATATAGAGCCAGGAATAGCACATGTTCCTACAAGAGGCTGAAAAACCTCAAAATTCATGCCATACTGGGTACTCAAAAAGTCCTGCCTTATAGAGGGAAATAATTATCTCTAGACTAAACGTGTCTTGCCTAACACACCTCAAAAGAAAGATCTAAAAGGAATGAACTGTTTCTAAATAACTGCACAACAAACTTCAAATTATTTATAGGGACATAAAAATACCCAGCATCCAAAAAAATAAAATTCACAATTCCTACCATCCAAACAAAAATATAACCCATCATGAGAAAAATCAATGCTTGAAACTGACCTACAACTGACACAAATATTGGAATTCACAGAAAAGAGTATTTAAAGTTATTATAACTGTATTTAGAAAGATGTTAAGATTCAAAAGATTAACTAGAGACACAGATGACATAAAAAAAAGATCCATGAGCTTCAGGAAATGACAAGTTTAACATCTGGGATGAAAAACACACTGGGTAGGCTTAATAGCAAGTTAGATAATTCAGAATAAAATAATAATGAACTGAAAATTCAGCAATTGAAATTATACAAATTATAGAAGGAAAGAAGAATGAAAAACATGAACAGAATACCTAGAAAGCTGTGTGACAAGCTTTAACAATTTAATATACATATACACATGCACACATACAAACATTCATCATCATCATCATCATGAGTTGCCAAACAAGGAGGAAGGACCCAGGAAAAATATTTGAAGACTGAAAAATTTCCAAATTTGATGAAAGCTATTAACACATAGGTCCAAGATGCTTAATGAATCTCATCTATAAGAGCCATGAAGAAAACCAAAGTATATGATAAAAAAAATCATAACCATGTCCACAGGAAAAATACACATCACATACTGGGAACAAAGGTAATTGAACAATATCTTTAAAAACCTGAAAAGAGAAATGTCACCCTGGAATTCTCTCGAAAAAATATCGTTCATGAACAAAAGCAAAATACTTGTTAAAGAGAATAAAAACCTAAAAGAACTCATCAGCATCAGACCTACATAAACTCTTTGGGCAGATGGAAATATGGGGATCAGTGAAGAACACAAAAAGTGTTAATTAACTACATAGATAATTATGAGGTTTTTTTTTTTTAAAGTTTTTTTTTTTTTTTTTTTTTTTTAAGATTTATTTATTTATTCGTACAGAGCTGGGGTACAGGCCAGAGATGCAGAGGGTGAGAGGATTCACCAGAGACAGAGTGGGGTACAGAACAGGCAGATCGACGAAGTACACTACTGAGGGGAGCAGCGGGCGGGTCAGGAGAGGTCTGCCTCGCCATGTGGATCTCCTCCGGGGCAGGCGGGGATCGAACTCATGAGGAAGTGGCTTAAGCTTCTTTGTGCTATGCTTTAACCCGCCGCGCCACCAGGGAGGGCCCAATTATGAGGTTTTTATTGTAACTTA